TGTCTTCTTAGGAAATATATCTCAGTAACTAATGTTGAACCATACAACAGCACCCCCTTTTTTACTTAAAACCCATTTCTACAGATTAAAGTCTCAGTGACCAAATTATTTCATACATACATTTTGGTAGACCTGGCTCTTTTAAACAATTGTGCCACTGGAAATACAATCAACTTATAAAATAATACTTTAAATATCTTGGGGGCGATCAAAGAGGCTTTGGGTACGTGCCTACATGTTTTCGACAGAAGCAAGAGATGGTTTTCAGAAATGCAGCTGTCTCTTCTTCACCCCACCCCTCGACACTTCCTCTGTGCACCTCAGCGCTAGCCCAGGAGCTGGGAGGGGAGAGGCTGCCGCTGGGTGGCACCTCCCACTGCCTGGCTGGAGTAGGACACTGACGTCTTGGGCCTCAGCTGCCTCCTCTGTCAAGGGGGTTCACGCTCATGATCTGCAAGGGCCATGGCTTCTCTGAGAGCTCTTGTCATGACCCCTGCAGCGTGGGATTGTAAAAAGGAGTGGCTCAGATCTGGACGCCAAATCAATTCGACTTACCCGTCATCGTATGTGTCTGGAGCTGCTTTTCTTGGGAGAGCTCTGTGTCCACTCATTGCCCTTAGACATAATCCAAATTAAAACCAGTTTCTAAAGAGCAAAGAATGATTCTTCACTGGGAATCAGCCATTTTTGTAGTCCCTTGGGAATGTAAATATTGTGACTGTTCCTATTTTCAAGCAATTACTACACAAGACTAAATGCCAAGGCCTCCGTCCCACAATAATGGCCATGTTATACGCTTAGATAATGAAACCAAACGGGATCCACTTTCGTAGAAAAACCTCCAACAGGAAGGACTCCCAAATCCTAGAGCAGCCCTGTCTCAGGCCCCACATTGCATTGAGGATGTGGGGCACAGGAGAGAAAGACACATGACCAGCCTTCAGGGTTTTTCAGGGTGCCCAGTGTTCCAGGACAACACCTGGAATACACTCATCTGTCAGCCAGCCAGGCAGCCCTAAAAACATACAGGATTAGTGGGAAGTACAGAGTATCAGACAGGAAATGAAGATGATCATACAAGTGTCACAGCAGGGACACGTCAGGGCAACAGGAGGAAATGCACATGTGACAAGGAAGGGGACATTCAAGGAGTCGTGGGGGTACATCAGGGAACAGCGGAGCAACATGTGGACTGAGGGAGGCTCCCGGAAGATTTCCAGGCTCTGTCAGGCTAGGGATGGAGGGCAGAATACACTCCAGACAAGGGAGGAGCTCAGGAAGGGACCCAGTTGTTTCTGGGGGGCTACAGGTCGTTGGTGTGGCCAGGCCTTCGCTGGACCAGAGAATGGCCTGGGGAGTGACTCTGGTGGATAAGGGGACACAAACAGGTGACTCAGCCAGCACCTTTCTGCTCATCTAGGCCCGCTTCTGGCCTTATGTTCACCTCTGCATTACTGACGCTGGGACCAGCTTCAGGCAAAAACGTGAGGGGTCACACTTGGTCTTCCCTCACCTGCCATCCCTACCTTGGTGTCCTCACCCCCTACAGCCTTGCCCAAGACCAGAGAACAAGAGTGCCCCAGGTCCTCCACTCCAGGGTTCCCAGGAAGCACAAGCTCCTCCAAGCTGGTGGAGCCTTGGGGTCCTCCCCAGGACACCCCTAATGGCAGATATGGGGGTGCAGCTGGACTCTGAGTTGAACAGCCTGGCCACTTCCTCCAGTGATAGCAAAAAAGGACTGTACCCATGAAACAGAGAATTTGCATTTATACTCTCACCCCATTTTTGTTCCTTTAAAAAACACATTTTTTTACGGACTTTCACACCAGAGTGTCCTCTTCAAAGCGAGAGTTCAATAACGAGACTTCTTTCAATACAATCTCATTTTTATACATATCGATGTGTCTTTAAAGAGGGTTGTGTATAAAACGGAGGTGCAATGTTGGACATTTCTTTGAAGTGCTGCGGACCCCTAGGGCAGAGCTGAGCCTGATATTTATTATTGTTGGTTTTCACAGCAGGCTTCATTTTCCCATCCTTTATCTGCAGACTCAAGAGCCAGGAACAAAGGCAGCACAGATCTGCACACTCCAAAATGTCCACAGAAATCTGCAAACCCAGGTTCTTACAGGAGGTAAAGGTTTGGGACTGGGTGGATGGGAAGCAAATCCCGGAAAGAAAGTTCATGACAGACTTCTTCAGAAGGTTCACTCAAGTGCCACTGATGGCCAAAGAGCCAGGAGGTATGGGCTTAGGGCTTTTTGTTTGGGGGAGATCCCTCTTGCCTAGCAGAAGCGGTGTCGAGCTTGGGGGGCAGCAGCCATAGAAACCGCCTGCCCAGTACCCATGGGACCAACTTCCAGTGCCGAGCATAGGGTTGGAAAGTCGTAGTTTGAGCAAGATCAGGCCTCGACCCCTCCCTATTTTCTCCTTTTTTTTTAAGACAGTCTTGCTCTCTCACCCCTGGGCTAGAGTGCAGTGGCATCATCATAACTCACCGCAAATTCAAACTCCTGGGATCAAAGGATCCTCCTGCCTCAGCCTCCTGAGTAGCTGGGACTACAGGCACGCACCACCACGCTCAGCTAATTTTTCTATTTTTAGTAGATACTGAGGCTGGCTCTTGCTCAGGCTGGTCTCAAACTCCTGGCCTCGAGTGATTCTCCCACCTCAGCCTCCCAAAGTGCTAGGATTACAAGCATGAGCCACGGTGCCCGGCCTCTTCTCATTTTCTGTCTGAAGCCAGTCTACCCACCAGGCCCCCGTAAGTCCACGGCTGTCTGAAACACAGCTGTCAGGCCAGAACCTGTGCGGACGGAGCTCCCTTTTCAATCCTGCTGCCAAACTGTGCAAAAGCTTTTCGAACTGAAGGCTCAGCCAGTTGTTTTTGTCTACACCCATGTCAACTGAGTGCTTAAAGTCCTAAAGAATCATGTTCAAGTCTTGGCTGGAAGCTCAGGCTTCACGTCAACCAGCCGGCTTCCCCAGCCTTTCCTTCTGGTGTGGGGCAGCAGGTGATGAAGATACCAGAGCAGCACCCTCCATGTTTGCAGCTGGAGACAGGAATCACCTGGGGATCCTGTTCTAATGCAGATTCCGATTCAGTGGGTCTGGGGTAGGGTACTGTTCATAAGAGCCAGGTGGAGCAGATTTGGGGCCTTGGACCACACTGAGCCACCCGGCACTAAAGAAATGATCTCACTCTTCATCAAGCTGCTCCAGAAGCCAAATCTAGAACTACTTGAAATTCTGTAGGCTTACAGCCTTTCCTTCAAAAAGTTTCCTCCCACTCCAAAGCCCTGAGCTTGCTGGTTGGTCCCCACCCAACTGCTGTTCGTTTCTCCCCAGAGTCCCTTAAAACGTCTGGTTTGGAGCTCAGCCCTCAGGGTGCTCCTGAGCCCCTCCTACCCACAACACAATGCTGTTCACTGTAGCTAGGCAGCTCGCAGTCAGCAAGAAGCCTGTGACTTTTCTCAAGCCCAAAGAGCTGCATTCAGCAGGAAATTTCCCTTGAAAGAATGCCAGCACCTCTGTCCCGCTGCTTGCAAAGGTGCAGCTCTTGGCATTTCTTGTTTGCTTGTTTACTTCACGTGTGCCTCGTCTGGAACTGTCTACATATCTGGTCCTCTGCCCACTCTGGTGTTTCTCGTAAGGGCAGGGATTACAACTCTGTACCTTTGTAATGATAGCCCTGGCACTAAGTCCGTGGCATCTAACAGGGTAAATATTTAGCAAAACTAAATGAAAATTAAATTTTTCAGAATGTAATTTGGCAATCTGTGTTAAAGGCTTTAGAGATATGTGTACTTTATGGCCTAGTAATTCTTTTAGGAATTGATTTTAAAGAAATAATCAGATATAAGTGAATTCACAGAAAATAAAATACACCAAAAGGTTGATAGAGCTGATTGCTCAGCGGAATGACTACAGGTAAGTTTTGCTTTCTTTCATTCATTTGTATTCTGCAGATTTCTTTGGCAATGAATTTATGGTAAATTTATAATTACATAACCTGTAAATTACAAAAATTCATAGCATTCTTTACAATAATTTTTTAAAATCTGTCTTGTCTTCTGAAAGTCACCACAGATTCCTCAAGGGCAAGCCCCTCTTCCACAGGCCTCTCAATTAATAAGTACCCAATGATGCTGCTGGTTCTTTCTCCTAACCCGTTTTCTTTTTTCTACAAGCTTAGAAAGTCTCTCTTCTCATCAGATAGGCCTAGAGGTGCATCTGACGCTCTCCTTCTCTCTTTTACTTTCACCTGTGCTTCACCGTGCCTTAGGAGCTTGCCTCCCCAGACCCCCACACCACCAAGAACCCAGCAATTAGTACAGACAGGTGATGCCCTAAGGAACCAGGTCCCCAGGAGCGCTTATTAGCATTCTTCTCTCAAATAATTACCCAAGACTATGGCAAAAATCAGCACCCTTCCCAGGCCGCCCGCTGGAGGCAAACAAAAACAAAACGGGTTAGGGTTAGGGTACGGTGACGCTTCTTTCCCCAGGCCCGGGGACTGAGGCGAAAGGCGCAAACTCCTACCAGCTGGGGGCCTCCGAGTCGCAGCTGGGGCGGGGCGCAGGCGGGTCCTCCAGGGCGCGGGGGCGGGCGCAGGAGGTGGGGCGCGGGGCGGGGCGATGGACCGGGAGGTGGGGCGCGGGCCCGAGTGGGTGGGGCGTGGGGCGAGGCGCGGGCCCGAGGAGGCGGGGCGCTGGCCCGAGAGGTGGGGCGCAGGGCGGGGC